CCACTCCCTGGCCTCCAGTGGCTCAGCTCTGTGCTTTGTTCTTCAAGCAAGCTTTATTTGTTAAAACACGAACAAAATATCACTACACCGTGATTTTGATTTTTAAGCATCTGCTGGTTTATAATATTTAGAAACTATCCTTTTTCTAGTCTATTCTATAATCTTAGCCGGTTGACCTCTCAAGTTTACCAGCACAACCATCTGAGGCCAGACAGATTCTATGTCATCACCAAGACTTTGTGTTTAATGATATACTACGCCTTTGTTGATAATTTATACTGCACTTGAGTGTTGTAGCTGAACATCGGCGCAAATTTATAACCTTTTAATGATAATAAAATAATGTAAAAAATTACCATCTTAACCATTCTTAAGAGTACAGTGCAGTGCATTAGGAACATTCACAGGGTTGTGCCAGTCCCCAGAAGCTGTCTTTGGGACTCTTTCTATCGTGTACAATTGAAGCTCTAAGCTCATGAGACATTAACGCTCTCGTGTCCCCTCCTTCCCATCCCGGGGCAAAACTATCTATTCCCTGCCTCTATACATTTGACAATTTTGTACCTCAGTGGAATGGTCCCTCAGCATCATGTCCTTAAAGTTCATCCACACTATAGCATATGTAAAGTTGTGTGTGTGTGTGTGAGAGAGAGAGAGAGAGGGAAGGGAAGGGAAGGGAAGGGAAGGGGGGAAGGGAAGGGAAGGGAAGAGGGGAAGGGAAGGGAAGGGAAGGGAAGGGAAGGGAAGGGAAGGGAGCTAGGATTGGCTCTAGACCATTGGTTTGGCTCTAGACCATTGCCCATGCTAAGCATGTGCCCTACTGTGCCCGCTCCCTCCTTTTTCAAGCTGAACAACACTCCCTGATATGCACTACCTTCACCTTTCATTTGCGGACAAACATGGAGAACCTCTGTGCTGCCTTGACTGCCGTGAACAAGGCTGTTGTGAGCGTGGCTATACAAACGTCTCTTTAAGGTGCCAGATTCAGTTGTTTGGGGGCAAATGTCCAGAAACTGAATTTCAGAACCATGTAGTAATTTTATTTTTAATTTTGAGGCATTGTTTCATAATTTCAAAATATCATACAGTTTTTCACACTTAATACACTATTTTACATTTCCACTTGAAAACGTTGCTGGGGAAAACCCTAAGGCAAAAGAAAACCAAATGGGCAGGTCCTCTCAGAAAGCAAGCATTTTGAGTGTGATTACACATTTGGGCCGAGGCCAGGATGGGCTCAGGCACCAAGCGGCAGGAGCAAAGGAGTTTGGGAACAGGTGTTCTCTTAGAAAGAGGCTCCTGCCCTAGGTAAAGGCCAGTAGACCTAACCTGACCTGGGAAACGGGTAAAAACAGAGCTGGAGGCGTGAAGGTGTGAGGCAAACTGGCAGGACACATGGGAGAGAAGTCCCCAGGAGCTGGGGGATGACAACACTCCCCGGTTCTTTTTGGTCACCTTCTCCTTTCTCAGCCAGGGCTGAAGGGCTTCCATTTCTCCAGCAGCAAGAGCACAATGCTCTAACATGCAGGAAATTCCTGTGAGAAGGTTACTGTTGCCATTCAGGATGGAACACATGACTCAGGGACTCAAAAGGCAAGGAGAAGTCACCCTGAAGCCCTCAGCAGACCCTAGGAGACCCATGCCTACTTGGTGGCCCCTGTGTAGGGAAATGACAGTCCCCAGTCCTATCCACACGGGTGTCGATTCTCTCCATCCACTCTCCGCCCACTCTCACATCGCTGTCGCTGGAGACCTCGTGGCCAGGCTTCTGTGACTTGCAAGAGTCACTACAGGCATCTCTGGACACCAGAGCATCTCCTGATTCTTTAGAATTGACTGACGTCAGCCCACTCTAAAACCACTATAGCTCATTCCTCCTCTAGCGCCAGTGACCTCTGAAGACATCTGTCATCAGCTCTGGAGCCTGACTTAGATTCTGCAAATTACAACATATTCCCGGAAGAAGATCCCTCAGGGTGAGGCTCCAAACAAAACTGGATAAAGGCTGATACCCCCCAAACTTGAACTACATCCCAACCAGCATCCACTCATGTCTCCCTGGCAACTGATTCTGAGGCATTGGGCTCCTCAACACCAATAAGAAAAATTACAGCTTTTACAAGGGGTCAACAGAGACCCCGAAATGAAAAGTCAAAGAAATGACGGGCAATGAACATGGGCTTCCTTGTGGGGTTACAGCAATGCCAACAGTAGTAACCTGACTTTGTAAATATTCTAAACCCACTGAATTAACACTTCAAAAGAAGGGAAATTGGTGAATGTGAATTGTGTCTCTTTTTCCAAAAAGGGAAGGATCACCAAAAATTGCCAGAAATGGAACAAATCTGTCAGGGCCTATGCAGGATTTTGTTCCAGGCAGGTTGGCTTTGGTTTGGCTGACACCTCTTTGACCCTTGCAGAAAACATTTCCTTCTCTCTCTTCCTGTTCTTCCCTTCCCCCCCCCCCCCCCCCCCCGCACCCTTCATCTTTCTAACTTCTGTTTAGTGTGCAAACCAGAGATCAAACCCAGGGCCCTGCTTATACTAGGTAAGAGTTCTACCACTCTTCAACCCAGCTCCATTTTTTTCTTCCTATCTTTTGGGTGTTTTGTTTCTTGTTTGTTTTCTTTTTTTCTTTTAGAAATGGGTACTTACTGTGTAGTGTAACTTTGCCTGGCCTCGAACCTGCTGTATATAACAGGTTGACTTAGAACTCACAGAGAACCTCTGCCTCTCAAGTGCTAAGGTTAAAGGCGTGAGCCGTCACACCTGGTCAGTCTTCCTAACTCTTAAAAGTTGAATGCACCCTTCAGCACAATACTGATACAGTTTTGAAAGAGCGGTTTCAGGTATCATGTGTCCTAGAACATCCCCCAGGTCCGTCCCCCGCTGCTAAGATAAGGGCTACCCTTGGGTTCCACATAACACCTTTGCTCATCTTTCTCTAGCACCAGGACAGTGAAATTAACTGTCCACCTGTCACCTCCCACTGGCACTGCCTTGGCAGAAAAGAAATGTATGTGAACGAGCCAGAAAATAGATCATCATCATACATGGTTTTTAAAATTAGCATCTCACCAGGCATAGTGGTGCACACCTTTGATCCCAGAACTAAAGAGACAGAGGCAGCCCAGTTCCAGTCCCAATCTGAGTTTGAGGACAGCCTGGTCTACAGAGTGGGTTCCAGGATAAGCTCCAGGACAGTCAGGACTACACAGACAAAGCCTGTCTCCGAAAAAAAGAAAAACAAGACCCCCAAGGCCAAAAAAGCATCTCTGCCTTATAATGTCCTAATTTAATGTGGCAACATCACAGTTTTAAAACCACACAGCCAGTAACTTGTTGCAGAAACAACAGGACACTGGATACAATGTGTTCTTTGAGAGAATACATTTATTCTTACTAAGAAAAAGCTGGATGTATGAATTTATCCTTCCAGGAATTTTGTCTTAGCACAGATCAAGCAGAACGGCGGAGGCCAGAATCTGCAGTTCCTAGCCACAGAAAGATTAAAGATGCTCTGTTTTCCTTGATTCTCTGAAAACCTTGTTAAACACCACCAAGCCTTTAAGCAGTCAGAGAGTCTACACCAAGATCTCAGAACCAAGAGGAGTTTCTGGCCTCTCCCCTTTGTGACCGATCAGGAACCTGAGAAAGCTGAAGAGTTGGCCTATTGGGATTCGCTACCTAGACGCAGAGTTCACCCAGAGTCATGAACATGAGGAGGGCTTTGCTCTGGCTTCCGTTCAATCAACATACACCCAGGAATCTCACTGACAAGGTTACTTGTTGCCAAAAGTCACGTTCCTTACCGAGTCCTGTGGTGGCAAGTCTCCTTCGTGACAATGCTTAGACCTCCTAAGAGGCACAGAAACCCTTGGTGCTTAATGGGTGTTGTGCTTAGTTACAGGAAAATAGAGCTGGCACACTGACTCCAGAGAGGTCAGCCTGATTGTCCATTGTAGAAAGGTTAAAACACAGGCCATCACGATATGAGAGCCGACTGCTCAAGCCTCAGTCTGAGTTCAATCCCCAGATTGGGCAGTGAAAGAATGGGACTCCTGAAGGTAGTTCTCTGAACCCCTGCCACACAAACACACTGTGCACATGCAAGCACACACACTGTGCACACAACTTATTTCTCTCTCTCTCTCTCACACACACACACACATACACACACACACCACATCATACATGCACACACAAACACACATACTCATAAACATACATAATAAATTAAAAATTTTTAAAGACATAAAACTTGAAAAACAGTACAATCAATTATCAGATGCCCACCCTCCAATATCATAAGTTATTCAATTACTGTTCATATTTCGTCATTTAAAACAGCTCACAGAAATCAAAACACAAAATACTTCATAATAATGCCCCAGACAATTCATCTCTCAAAATAATAACATTCTATAGATCACAATACCATGATCCCATCTAACAATAAGTCTTCATTGGGGTTTATATTACTCTGATAAGAAGATATGGCTACAAACAACTTGGGAAGAAAAGGGTTTCTTTTAATCTTACAACCCTCAGCTCACACTCCATCACTGAGAGAAGTCAGGCCAGGAACCCGGAGGCAGGAACTGAAATGGAAGCCATGGAAGCATGCTGCTTACTGGCTTGCTCTCCCGTTGCTTGCTCAGCCTGGCTTCTCCCTGCCTAGAGGCGGCATCATCCAGTGAGCTGGGCCCTCCCACATTAACCCCTAATCAAGAAAACGCCTGACAGCTTTGCCTGTCTGCCATGTTTGCCAGTCTGATGGAGGCATCTTTTCAGTTGAGGTTTCCTTTTCCCAAGTGACTCTAACTTGTGTCAAGTTGACATAATGCTAGACAACACATAATGTTAGCATTAATTCTCTAATACTGACTAGTACTACTAGGTGTCTGTTCAAGTTCAAGGCTTTCCACCGTGATTCTACTCTCTATCCATCAGCTACCGTGCCATCCCCAAGTGGTCATCACCACAGCCCCATTTAGTACCTGTACAGAAAGTGCCATCGTTGGGAATGAATGTCCTGTTGTTATTTGTAGCCCGATAGCCTTTGTGGCAAATGCAGTAGAACCCTCCAGGTGTGTTGTGGCAGGAGGTGTGGCTCCCACAGATCACAGTGGCTCCGAATTGGCACTCGTCTTTATCTGCAGATGAATACGTGGAAACAACTCACATGAAAGCCGTCTACCCACACCATGCATCCCTCCCAGAATCCTCTCGCTCTCTGTAGACTACGGGGTCTCTCCTCTCTGACAACAGCCTACTGGTGTATTTGGTTCTCCAGTCTCATGCTTTCCAGACTACAAGGAAATGGACTCACAGAATTACATACCTGGTGCATACAAAACCACACGAGAAATACAACTTTATAATCTGGGAATCGAATCCATCTTACTTGAAGATTGGCAGCAGGTTATTTTTTAATTTTTTTCACATTTGAGAAAAAAATCATAAAAGGTTGAGGATGTAACTCTGTGAAGAGGTCTCTGTTGCTAAGATCCATGAGGTTCTGGGTTCAATCCCATGAGAGTGATCATGCTTTTAAAATAAGACATTGGTGGGTCAGCTAGGCAGTTTAGAGAATAAAGGTGCTTGCCAGAGGTTTGACAGCCTTGATTCTGTCCTCAGGACCTACATAGGGCAGGAAAAGAATTCCCAAAAGTTGTCCTCTGACCTCCAAGTGGGACACACTGACATATGTGTGCACACACACACAGATAAAATGTAACAAAAATAAAATTTAAAAGCGTAATGACTGGGAGATGTCTCCGTGGATAAAGTGTTTGCAGATCCCATAACCTACATAAAGCCAGACAGGGCAGCACACAGCTGTTATCCCAGTGCTCCTGTGGAGAAACAGGAGATGGAGACAGGAGAGTCCCAGCGAGCAACAGAAGACATTGCAACAAGGTGGAAGGCGAGGAGCCAACACTAGGTCAGGTTGACCTCTGACCACTACATGCACACACCAATAAGAATACACACAAAGACATGTATGAAATTACCTGGTGCCACACACACACACGCGCGCGCACACACACACACACACACACACACACGCATCTTAATGAATTTAACTCAATAGACATTTGGTTAGCCAGAGAAAGCAAACCTAGAAAAATCCCATTTCCAACTCAGCCATTTTCTTGGTCTTTTCAGTATTAGAGAATTAGTGCTAATATTAAGTGTTGGCTAGCTATGTGTTATGTGTTTTTGTGCTTCTACCTCAAAGTTCCCTCCTAGACGTTGAACAGAGAGTTCTAGTCTCTCAAGGTTATTGTCAACAGGTGTGGCTAATAGCCAGACCTTGTATTCCAGGCTTATATCTGTTCCTACTTCAAACAAGAGTCTAAAGGATCCAACTAAGTTCCAGTTCCCTTTATGGAGGTAACTTTGGATTCCACCCAGGGAGTGGTTTGTCTACAGAACATTTTGGTCTAGTGTGTGAATGGGACTTGTTCTAGCAACGGAATGTTTAACTAAGAATGGAGTAGCCTGTGACCTTCCATTGGCTTGTTCATTTCCTTGTATCGTGTTAATCAGTCTTTTGTCTTACTCCTACCTTTTGGGGTCAGGGTTATTTTAGGCAGTTGGAAATTAATTAAATGCGGGTGAATTTTCAGTACTCACGGAAATACCCTCCTGATACTATACTATATGTTTCTCCGTTTTATTATTTTCATTTGCATCTTCATATTCTTTACTATATTTCTAACCCCCATGCCTCTGCCCTGGCTGATCAAAGCTGATCCCCGACATAGGTGGGGCTGGTGGGCAGCAGGGAAAATAGGTAGGAGGATGGATCTAGGCTCAGGATAAGAGAGAGCCGGGCGGTGGTGGCGCACGCCTTTAATCCCAGCACTCGGGAGGCAAAGGCAGGCGGATCTCTGTGAGTTCGAGACCAGCCTGGTCTACAGAGCTAGTTCCAGGACAGGCTCCAAAACCACAGAGAAATCCTGTCTCGAAAAAAAAAAAAAAAAAGAGAGAGGGAGAAAGAGAGAACAAGGGAGAAAGAGAGGAAGGCACTCAGGGCTGGCCAGCCAGACACAGAGGAGACTGTGAAAAGTAGGACATCCAGAATGAAAGATGAAAGCCTGTGGGCAAAATGTAGGTGAAGAGAAACAGGTTAAATGAAGTTAGAAGAGCTAGTGGGACAAGCATAGAATAAGGCCAAGCATTCATAACTAATAAGAAGTTTCTGTGTCTACCTCAATACCCAGCAATACCACTTTTGGGTACACAATTGAGAATGCTCAATTGTACCACAAAGACATGTGTTCAACTATGTTCATAGCAGCATTGTTAATCATAGCCAGAACCTGGAAACAACCTAAATGCCCCTCAATCGGAGAATGGATAAGGAAAATGTGGTACATTTACACAATGGAGTACTACACAGCAGAAAAAAAAAACAATGATATCTTGAAATTTGTGGGCAAATGAATGGATCTAGAAAACATATTGAGTGAGGTAACTCAGACCCAGAAAACAAATATGATATGTACTTACTCATAAGTGACTTTTAGACATAAAGTAAAAAAAAAAAACCAGCCTACAATTCACAATACCAGAGAAACTAGATAACAATGAGGACCCTAAGAGAGACATACATGGATCTAAATTACATAGGACATAGAAAAAAAAAAAAGATCTCCTGAGTAAATTGGGAGCATGGGACCATGGGAGACATTAGAAAAGGAGGAGAAAGGAAGGGAGGGGAGTGGAGAAAAAATATATAGCTCAATAAAAACAATTAAAAAAAATAAATTATTTCAGGCTGAAAAAAAAAAGAAGTCTCTGTGTCATGATTTGGGAGCTGCTATACCCAGGTCCTCTGCAAGAGCAGTACATGCTTTTAGCCATTGAATCATCTTTCCTACCCCTAAGATTAATTTTATATCCAATGATCCAACTAGAAAATTAGGATTGTCAGCTCCCAGAAAACACACTAGAATTAGCACTGAAGTCTTAGGGGCAGGAAACACACTGCCCATCTCTGTGAGCCATGGTGATCACCAGGTATAGAGCAGCTAGAACACAGATGACTGAAGGCTGCCTTGGGTGTCATTAGCTAAAGAAAATGAGAGGGCAAAATGAAGTTAAACTCTCTCCTTCTCTGATTTCCAGTGTGTTGGGTCAGGAAACTTTTTCTTTACGTCTCACTGGTGCTTACAGACCTTGAAAGCTGCCATAGAATATGCCCATTACAGGTCATAGTCATGCATGCCTTTAATCCCAGCACTTGGGAGGCAGAAGCAAGCAGATCTTTGTGAATCTGAGGCCATTCTAGTCTACATAGTAAGTTCCAGGCCAGACAAGGATGCAATGAAAAATCTTGTCTCAAAATAACAAAAAAAAAAACAAAACAAAAAAGTCAAAGCAACAACCATACCCCACCCCCACCAATACACACACATATAGAAATGAATTAATTTAAGATGTAAGAGTTAGCTAGGAATATGCCTAAGCTATTGGTCAAAAAGTGTTGTAATTAATATAGTTCTGTGTGATTATTCAGGTCAGAGTGGCCAGAAAACATAAGAACAGTCTTTGCTTACAAATGGCACCTACCAACTGAGGCATGGATCCACATAAGACCTAAAAAAGCTTTAAAAAAAAAGAAAGGAAGGAAGGAAGGAAAGAAGAAAGAAAGAAAGAAAGAAAGAAAGAAAGAAAAAGAAAACAGGACTTCTAGATCTACAAAAGTGGGAGCCAAGTGAAGCTTCTTGGTAGCTGCATTTTTTCAGATACGCTCTGTTTGCTGGTGGCGCACAGAGGCGTAGCTCCTTTAAGAAAAATCTTCCTAACCCAGCATTTGCAGCAAACACTGCAGGGCTCTGTAAGAGCCATCTTCCTTATTCATGCACAAACAGCTTTGGCTCTTTTAGGAGGTCCTGAACTTAAATGGGGTTTGTGAGCAGCTTGCTACTAGTTGCTTAATGGCAACACAGACCCGCTGCATCCCTGGAGCTGGGGGCTGTGAGCATGGCCTACAGAGGTGGTAAATATACCTCCGCCATGTTGGACAAAAGAGCCAACAGGTAGGGCCACTGATGACTTCCTCCAATCAGGTTGTCTCTCAGAATGATACTCACTTTTCCAAAATACAACATGGGGGGGAGGGACGACCCTTTGGATATTTCTTCCATTTTCACTTTTATTTTTAAATTACAACTATTTATTTATGCATACATGTATCTGTATGTGTGTCTGTCTCTCTGCCTGCCTGCTTGCCTGCTTTTGTGGGCACGCGGCATGCGTGTGGAAGTCAAAGGACAGTTTGTAGGAGTGGGTTCTCTCCTCCACCATGCAGGTTCCAGGAACTGAACTCCAGGTAGTCAAGCTTGGTAGCAAGCACCTTTACTTACCGATCTAACTATCTCGACAGCCCTTCTTTTCCATTTCCTTATGTGACTTTTTAAAATACTTTGTTAGAGATGGAGAGATGGCTCTGCAGTTTGGAGTGCTTGCTACTCTTGAAGAAGAGCCAAGTTCAGTTCCCAGCACCCACTGGGCGGTTTACAACCACCTGTAACTTCAGCTTTGGGGGCTCCAAGGCCTCCTTCTGGCCTCTACAAGCGTACACTCACAGATACAACTCACACTCAATAGACTGGTGCACACAGATAAAAACTACACCCCACATGCTGTTGTGGTGTTTTTTTTGAGGTAAGATCTTGCTATGTAATCCAAGCTGATGTTCAAACTCCAAATCCTCCGGCCTCAGCCTTCACAGCACAGGAGGCTGCTGTATCCCCAGCACCCTTTGAATTTTTCAGATGAATCTAGTATACAACCTACAGGTAAAACTATCCTTGTTAAGATTTGCCTGAGAGATTGGGGCAACTGAACTCTCAAGTCACAGCTAGGTCAAGTGCACAGCTCGGCTGACAAACGCTACACAGAGCTTCCAGGCACAAGCTGATCTGGGCCCGGGCCTTTGTCGTTCTTTCTCAGCACACCTCTGCGTTAGTGACTTTCCTACTCTTGCGATAAAACACCATGACAAAGCAGCTTAAAAACGAAACGTTAATTTAGGCCTCCAGTTCCAGAGATGTAGAGGCGCAGCAGCAAGCAGCAGGCATGGCTGCAGGAGCAGGAAGCCGAGAGCTCACATCTTCAGCCACAAGGATGAAGCAGAGAGAGCAAACGAGAAGTGGGGTGCAGCTATGAGCTCTCAAAGCCTACCTCCAACGACATACTTCCTCCAGCAAGGCTGCACCACCTTGCCAAACAGCACCATGAACGAGGGACCAAGTGTCCAAATACTCAAGCCTAGAGGAGATATGTCTCATTTAAATTAATACAAGGTTCCCCTGAAGGTTTCAATTGAGCTATTTAGGTTTGTAGAAAGTTATAGAATTCTTAAGTCCTTCAATATAATGCCATACTATGGTGCGTTTGGCACAGGTGTAACCTCACTAGTAACCTCCAGTGCACACGTAGCAATCCATGTACGAGAACCGGCAGTGACCAATAGGAACAAACACAGAAATGTGCGAAGGTCTCTCCTCCCCTAGGAGATGCACCCGTTGCTTAGAAGTCAAAGAGCAATCGAGAGCACAGCTAGGATGCAGGAGGGGAGGAATTCCTTAGAGCAGTGGTTCTCAACCTTCCTAATGCTGTGACCCCTTAATATAGTTCCTCATGTTGTGGTGACTCCCCCAATCATAACATATTTTTATTGCTACCCCATAACTGTAATTTTGCTACTGTTATGAATAGTCATGTAATTGTCTGTTTTCCAATGATCTTAAGCAACCCCATGAAAGGGTTATTCGACACCCCTCCCCACACACACACAAAGGGATTACAACCCACAGGCTGAGAAACCACTGCTTTAGGGGAAGCCCCACCCAGTTCCTCAACTTCAGCTGTTAGAAAAAAAAGAGCAGGTACTGGTGTGTGTGTGTGGGGGGGGGGGGGGGGGACAGGAGAAATTCCCTAAGGAATCTGACTGCAGAGCAGCCACAGGGCTAAGGGGAGAAGGCCGCTAGTCTAGTGAGACTGCTCAAAGCCTGTGAAGTCTGGTCTGCAGAAAGGGCAACGGTGGGTCACAGGGACAGCTTTTAGCTGTGAAATGGAATGCGACTCGCCTAACTTCTGGACTGTGACTATTTGAACGCAGGATTAAATTGTTTTTCTTTAAGAAGTTAAACAAAAGAAAATTCACATCAGGACAAAGGGTTAGGGGGTTGGCTCAGCAGGCTAAAACATTTGATACACAAGCATGAGGGAATAAGTTCAAAGCCCCAGCCAGAACCCCTGTAAAAAGCCAGGCATGGCCAGACCTGGTGGGGTACACTTTTAATCCTAGTCCTCAGGAGGAAAGACAGGTGCTTCATAATGACTTTCAAGACAGCCAGGGTTATGTAGAGAGATCCTGTTTCAAGAAAGAATGAAAGAAAGGAAGAAAGGAAGGGAGGGAGGGAGGGAAGGAGGGAGGGAGGGAGGGAGGGAAGGAAGGAAGGAAAGGGAAGGGAAGGAAGGAAGGAAGGAAAAGAAAAGAGGGAGGAAGAGAAGAGAAAAGAAGAGAAGAGAAGAGAAGAGAAGAGAAGAGAAGAGAAGAGAAGAGAGAAGAGGAAAAGCCAGACATGGCCAGGGAGGATGACTGGGGCTCCTTGGTTGACAATCTAGTTCTGGGTTCAATGGGAAACTCTGAACATCTTCCTCTGGCTTCTGCACATACCTCTCCACACACACACACACACACACACATGTGCACACACACACACACACACACACACACAGGTATAACAAGGGTATAGATGCTGCCAGTTCACAGCTACAAGGCAACATTTTACAGCATATAGCAAGGAGAAAACTGAGAAGTCATTGCCACTTTTATTATAATTAAACTTTTGTGACATTCTCTCTGAATTGTGCTTTAATCTCAATGCTATCTGATTGTACTAGCATGGACACCATGAGCCAAAAAAAAAAAAAAAAAAAAAAAAAAAGATTCTCAGCTGCCTCTAGTCTAAACAACCTTCAAGCTATCTTAAAGTATTCCTTGAAGTCATCCCAAAGGGTCAGAACTACAAAAATCACAGGGCAGATTCTGATGGACATTCGAGACAAGTAAGCTAGTAAGCTAGTCATTTGTTTTTTCCCATGGCATTAAGATAAATAGTTTTATATCAAAACAACCTGAGAAATAAAGAAATTTAATATTTGCTTTTGTTGTTAAGTTAAAGTTGGGACATAAAACAGACTTCAAATCTGTGTAGGCCAAATAATTTCCAGAGAGCTCAGGTCAACGACATCTAACATGAGGGGTTCTTCCTTGGAAACACCAGAAAAAGGATATATCTAAATAATAAAACCAAGATTTTGTTGTAACTGCCAAAAACCCATCTAAAAAAATGTGAACAAAATAACAATGTTTGCCCTCCAGGGACACTGGTTCTAAAACTGGAGAACCCTTGGTTTTGATTCAAATTCTCAGCATAACCCACCAGTGAAACTTACCAACACACCGTGTCCTCCCGTTGCCCCAGAAGCCATAGTTGCAAATGCAGATCCTCTTCCCGTCCTTTTCCTGGCATGTGGCGTGTTCATGGCATGTGGCACAGACACCTAGGTCTAAATCAGAAATCACACTCTTCAGAAACAGGAGGTTAGAGGTGAGAACTGTTCGGTCAAGGGACATGTATTACAGAAAACCAACATTTGAATACCAAAACAAAACAGGTCAAATCTCATCCTTAAGACTTTCCACAGTGACTCACTGCTCACAACATATAATGCAAATTCCCCTGCCAATCAACGCTCTTCGCTGTCTGTCTTCTCATCAACTCCTCCAGCGTCACGGTCCCAGATTCCAACTGCACAGTACCTTCCCAGCAGAAGGGACAGATCCTGTCCACTATCTGTTCTCATCCTTGTCACTGGTCGCCATGCTCCTGTCACCGGGAATGCCCACACCCTCTTATCTGCCTGTCTGGAGCTCACTCTTATTTCCAGGATCCAGTCAAAATGCCTCCTTCTTTCTGAAGTCTCCCCCACTCCTAAAGAAAGCTGTTCACATCTTCTAATCGCCCATGAAACATGTCCACTCCCATAACAATGATGTTAATCTCTCCAGATGTTTAATCCTCTCTTGGAACTGTGACTGAACCACTTGCGGATGAGGATTATGACATTCAATATGATTGAAGATGATTTTTCAATATGATCTTCACAAGCATAACATAGACACCACACTCCACATATTTTTAGTGGTTGGATACAGAGATCTAAAATGGGGGCTGGAGAGATAGTTCACAGGTTGAGTACTGGCTGTTTTTCCATAGGACCCATGTTCAATTCTTACCACCTACATGGTGGTTCACAACCACCTGTAACTCCAGTCTCAGGGGATCCAACGCCCTCTTCTGATCTTCTGGCCTCAGCGAGCACTATATACACACTGCATACAGACATATATGCAGGCAAAACACCCATACATATAAAATAAATCTAAAATGTGACTTGCTACAGCTCTATAGGCAGACCCAGGGAGAGAGCTCATCTGCCTGTTAGTCTATCTCTTTCACTTTAGGGAAGAAGTGAATGTGTTTAAGATAACAACCAAGTCCTGACAGGATGGCCAGACCCCAATTACTTAGATAAACAACAGAAATATTTAAAGCTAAAACTCTTAAAACATCTAAATTTACCAAATAGTGATATATGACCTGAGATCAAATAAGAATTTCTGCTCAAGGCTATGGAGAATATTGAGTTTCCTGCCCGTGTCTCTGTAATTTCAGGAGTGGCCTAGTATGGAGAATGTTCCAGCATAGAATTTCATCCTAGACTTGGCTTTGTCCTTACCCAGATAATACAGCCTCGCCCTCAGGCCGCACCAGGCACAAGACCAACAGAGAGTGGGAGACTCCTAAATACTCAGTCATGTTCTTTGCTTTTGTTTTTTTTTTTTAATCTAACTAACAAAGGACAACACATTCGAGGACAGCCTGGGCTAAATGAGAGTCTATCAAGCAAACGCCAAACAATAAAAACAAATAAAATCAAAGACAACATAGAAACAACAAACTACTAATGGTTACTGGCACCAAATTAACCATGGAATTTCCATAAATATCTAATAACCATAAAAATGCAAAAAATAAATATTATCTGACCATCATTGAATAATGGAATAAAACTTTAAAGCAAAACTTATGTCTAGGGGCTGGAGAGATAGCTCAGCAGTTAAGAACACTGACTGCTCTTCCGAAGGACCTAGGTTCAATTCCCAGTGCCCACATGGCAGTTCACAACTGTCTGTAGCTCCAGTTCCAGGGGCTCCAATACCCTCACACAGACATACATGCAGGCAAAACACCGATGCACGCACAGGGCAAACAAATAAACCATACTGAATTGTTGAAGCAACAAAACAAAGCACTGTCTGATGTGGTACTAATTGTACATATAGGACCTTTTTTATTTAAAGAAAAACAACCTATGTCGAGTTTCCTCAAAAGAAACCCACTTGTGCAACACTCCCCCAAAGCATTCAGACAAAGACAACGTCCAGACTGAAAGACAATGATAGATGTGAGAGCTTACTGCACAAACTCCAGTCTGTCGTGCTTTCACAGTCTTAAAAAGTAAATTTGGGGGGGGGGGGGGGGAAATCAAGCAATCACAGATGAGACCTACAATTTTAATGAAAAAAAGTTTGAGGGGGGAAAAAAGAAAGTGGAGATTTAAGAACTAGAAAAGCATATTTCTAAAAATAAAAAGAAAGATTTCTGGGTAAACACTGAGGATTTCAAATACTTCCAACCCCCTTACACCTAAAAAAGAAAGAAATGAAAGATTAAAAAACTGTAAATTTTTCTGTATGTTTTGTATGTGTGTGGAGGGGTGCATGTGTATGCATGTAGATGTATGTATGCAGATGTGCATGTGTATATATGTAGATGTATGTATGCAGATGTGCATGTGTATGTATGTAGATACTTATGCATGTAAGTGTGTGCACATACACATGAAGGCCATAGGACAACTTCGCTATTATTTATTCGCAGGCACTGTCTACATGTCTTGTTTGTTGTTTTGTTTTTTTTTTAAAGATTTATTCATTTATTATGTACACAACATTCTGCCTCAATGTACGCCCGCACACCAGAGGAGGGTGCCAGATCTCAGTACAGATGGTTGTGAGCCACCATGTGGTTGCTGGGAATTGAACTCAGGACCTCTGGAAGAGCAGTCAGTGCTCTTATCCTCTGAGCCATCTCTCCAGCCCTGTTGGTTTTTTTTTTTTTGTTTTTTTTTTGTTTTTTTTTTTTTTGGCACGGGATCACCAAGTAGGCTAAGCAGCCTGGCTGGCCAGTGAGCCCCAAGGCATCTCTACCTAAAAATATAAATCTTAAAATAGGGATGTTAACAATTATTTCATATGGAAATGAGACCAATACCTAGGAACGGCTTTGCAGAATGGAAGAAACAGAGTCCCTGGGTCCCTAGAGGGACAGGTGTAAGAGACAGGAACAAAACAGTGAGGGACCTGCTTGAGCAGAGCAGTGTTTGCTCTGCCATTCTTTTTGATATGCTTGGGATAGAAACCAGGCCTCCTGCAAGCTAACCACATGCGATACCACTAAGCCCCACCTCCAGTCACAGACTGAACATTTCTATAAGGAGTAATGAACCAAATCCCCTCACGAATGCTGATGTATGATGGCGTTTACTTAAAAAAAAAATCAGGGGCCGAAGAGATGGCTCAGAGTTTAAGAGCTCTGGCTGCTCTTCTAGAGGTCCTGAGTTCAATTCCCAGCAACCACATGGTGGCTCACAACCATCCGTAATGAGATCTGGTGCCCTCTTCTGGGGTGCAAACATGCATGCTGTCAGAACACTGTATACATAGCAAATAAATCTTAAAGAAAAAAAAATCAGGAAGACTCCAGACTAGAGAGATAACAGGCAGAGCAGAAGCGAGAGAGCATCCCCCAAGGGGTTAAATAGATTTAACCACTTTAATAGATTAACACTTTAACACAAACCACTGTAAAACAAAGTCATCTCCTTTTGCAGTTCCTAATGCCATGGTTACGGGCTGTGTCTCCTTCAGACCTTGCTACATTGATAGTAAATTACCCATATAATATGAAGGGAAATGGAAAGGGAAGAAAATAAAAGAAAGAAAATGAGAAAAAAAATCAACAGCTGGAGAACTGGCTCGGTGATTCAGGACACTTTCTGCTCTTGCAGAGGACCCACGTTTGGTTCCCAGCACCGGTATCAGGCAGCTCCATTGGTAGAGAACTTGCCTAGCATACGAGACGCCCTGCATTTGATCTCCAGAGTACTTAAAACCAGGTGCTCATGCTGCAGTCCCGGCACTTAAGAGGTGGGGGCAGAAGGGTCAGGGGTTTAAGGACATAAAGTTCAAAAGCAGCCTGTGCTACATGAGACCATGTAGGAAAAAGAAGAGGGAGGAAAGGGGAGGAAAAGGATAAAAGGAGTAGTGAGAGATGAGAAATAGAAACGCTGAGGGAATTCTAAATCATTTTCAAATCAAGATATAAATCACATAAATATGGCCATGTTCATATATCTTATCATTTCTAGGAACAACCATGAAGATGCAATGCCTGATGTTTAGCACAGTGGTTATGAACTAGGGGATACAGTTCGACAGCCATTTGCTAGCTGGTTTAGCCTTGATCATCTCTATATGTCCTGTACGTCTGTAAAATGAAGATGACATCAAACCTGTCTCATGGTCTTTGTGGTGATCACAGAGTGAATGCGTCAGATGTGGAAAGCAATGTGCTCATTGACCACTGTAATAATGGCCACTCCAGTCTATTAACAGGAACCAGCCCCATAGTTAGTCTGCAGACAACCAATGTCTACTGGATTACCAGTAGACAGCAACGGGAAGAGCAATGGATGACTGCTGGAAGCAGAAATCCAAACCAAGTCCTCGTGTGGACAGTTATCTACCTCTCCGTGGACTGGAAGATTCCACAAACCATAATATCTGAAGTTATGTATTCATTCCTTGCATGACCCATATCCTCCCTCCCTTCTTCTGAAGCTTGACTGGGATGCTGGAAGTTCATCTTTAGTGCCTGCTCGGCTCTCTTTCTTCTTTCCTGCCCCCCCTGCCCACGTCAGCAACCCACTCTCAGTCTTATAATACACCAGCTGTCCTGGTTAGGATGTCTGTTGCTATGATAAAACACCAGGACCAAAGGCAAGTTGGAGAAAAGGATTCATTAACATGTAACAGCTTGCGGTTTATCATCCAGCGAGGTCAGCGCAGGAACACAAGGCAGGAACTGGAGCAGAAGTCATGGAGGAACGCTGCTTCCTGGCTTGCTCCTCGTGGCTTGCTTAGCCCTATTTTTCTCACCATTCAGGACCACCTGCCCAGGAATGGCACAGCTCACAGTGGGTGGGGCCCTGGGGCCCTCCCACATCAATCATTAATCAAGAAAATGCCTAGGGGCCAATCTGATGGAAGCATTTTTCTCAATTAACATTCCCTCTTCCCAGTTATGTCTAGGTTTGTGTCAAGCTGACAAAAGCCACCAGCACAGCAGCTCCTTAAACACCCGCCATGAACCTGCCTGCAAGGTAAAGATATGCTGTTCGCAGGCAAGGGAGGAAAGGAGTTTGTCCTCACCTAACTGCCACAATCCCAGTAGAACCAGACAAACCTGGCAAACTCACTGTTCAGCCTTCTTGAGATTCCCTTCCCTAAACATATGGAGACATGTGGAAACACATTAAATAACCAAGTGGGGGACCCAATAGAGTCCAAAACTCAGAAACAGAAAAAAGTCTAGGATCAAGTCTAGAATACTATACTAAACTGCACTATTCCTAAGAAACTACATCAAATTCTAGAGATAGAATCCAGGGACCCAAGAAATACCATATTCTCTCTCCTCTCCAGCATCCTTGACAGAAAAAACACAGCCTCTCCCTTAGTCAAGCGCATTACCACAGATCTACACCCAAGCCTTAGCCTCTACTTTAAATGAATTCAAGACAGAAGGTGCCTTCTCCTTAGCCAAGTAATCATCACAGTCAGCCTAAACCCCTGAACTAGCCCCAGAACTGAGTATTCTGAGCCCTTAACCTTTCTGGGTGTAAAATGTTTCCAGGACGTTGGCTTCCTTTGACCATCTCTCATTCTCCTTCTTGTCTGACCAAGATCAAACCACAGTGGACTCCACACCTTGCCTCCAAACAAAACCAAACCCATATTAAGTATACCAGTGTCCAAATCTCAACTCTGAGTCTGGAGTTAAGCAGCCATTAGTTTGGGAGTCACCCTTAAAGTCACATTCAATGATCACTGTTCAGCCTACTTCAGCCGTTCTGGTCTTCTCTCACACTGCCTCACACATGACACCTTCTCCGGCAGGTTGTGAGTTTTGTATTTTTTTAATTTCTGGTCCTGTTGGAGATGGAACCTATGGCCCCCCAAATGTTAGGCCCCAGCCCTGCACACTGTTCTGTAAATCCAACAGACGGCTTATTAGCTACAGCCACAGACATCAGAGAGCTCATTAAGATTCAACCAGAAGAACATGGATGTGCACAAGATCAAGTTCCTGGGGGGTGGAAGGCAAGCCGCTGTGGAAGTCCTTCATTAAGTTTCATCTCGCTCCTCAGCTTAAACAACTTTCCATCACTCTGAAACTATCCACTCTCTCCCCTGTTGGGGAATGCAGACCCTTAGACCCTGAATTTTCTGCGACCCCTTGCCTGCCGGAGTAAACAACTTGTTTTCCTGTGCTTGCAGCTGCTTTAAGCACGAGACCTTTATGAGTTCCTGATGGCAGGGGAGTGGTTTCTGCTGGGCTTGCAGCTGAAAAGTCCAGAGAGCTAGGGCACGGCCACTAGTCAAGGAGAGTCCTTTATAAGCTGCCTTGGAACACAATAAAAGGGGCATTCTTGTTTCAAGGATGACCTGTGTCTCTATCTGTGTGTGTGTTTCAATCTCCAGCCCTCTGCCCGACCTATGAACCATTGCATGGTAGACAGACAGTAGTGTACGGGCAGGGTTCAGGAACTGTACGCTCCCCCTCTCGTCTCCTCATACCCACCATGCTGCCATCTCTCAGGAAGACAGACCGGGGCCCACACGTACGAAACACATGACAGAGGCATGTCACACAGTGACCTTTCCCCAGTGCGGCCCATCATTCCTCCACCTTGCTCCCCTGGCTCTGTCTTTCCCCGGACTTCCTGATCCCAGCCAGGCCTGAGCCAACAAGTCCCACAGCCACTCCCAGACTCAGAGCAAAGCCACAGAAAGAGTGAGAACAGGACTGACTGGTTCCACCCTTCCTCACCCATGGCCAACCTCTGGAATCCCCTGGGGCCAGGCACCCCACCCACTCACCAACACCCTCCTGCTCCCTAGTTTATGTTTCCCCATTTTCCTCAAACTCAGGCTTCAGCTAACTTTCTCCCAAGGATCTCCTACCAGTTAAATGTAACTCAGCCAGAGGCTACTAGTGAGAGAATCAACAGGAGCAACCGAGATGCTAGCAATGGCAGCATTGGCCTGGTTTCTAGCCTCAGAGACAGAGGGAGGAGAATCAGGAGTTTGGAGCCAACTGTGGCTACAGTGGAAGATCCTGTCTCAAGAAAAAGTGCACGCACACACACACACAAGTACACACACAAACAACACACATGTACACACACGTACAAACACACAATACATCCACATACCACATACACAAAAATACTACATGCGTACACAAATAACATACACACACACAAACATACATAGAAACACATAAACATATGTATACACATACATACACAAGCACACACATACACACAACCAGGCCAACCAGAGAAAGGCAAATAAGCCCCCTAAGCAAGCACACAAGATACCTGGAAATGATGCTAACAAACACCAGCAGCTTCCCAGGCTGGGCATCCCTAAAGCCCTCCCACCCTGACTGCCAGCCTTGGAGTCACCACCCCGAATTCAGGTGATAGTGGCTGACTCCCCTGCTACAGCCAGCTCTCATTAACAGTCTTCCTGTGCTTGGTACCATCCGGGTGGCCCCTGTTTGTTCCCACATCACATTCGTAACTTGAGTCAACAACCCCTTTTCACAAGGGGCTCTCTGTTTAATAACAAAGTCACGCTCAACAGTGGGCAATAGAGATGTGGTCACAGCATCAAAGAGAAGTGGACAGGGCTCAATGAACTTCCAGTAAGAGAGAACATCCAGCCTAGTTCTGAAATATAAACAGCACTCACTCAGGAGGTAGGAGAAGGAACTGGCAGTTTCCCCTGACCTCTCCTCCCTCTTCCCTTCCTGACATTAACTTCTCCTTCTTGCATGCAGCCCAGCTTTACAAGGGTTCTATCAAACATCATGTCCATTCTTATATTTTCACCTCCTCCCTTCTGAATAATGCCTGTAGTGCTAACATGTGAGCAGCTGAACTCGTTCTTCCCCAAGTCCTGCACTGACCAGGCCAGCCCCGCTGATATCTCCAAGCAACCCTGTGTTGCCAGGCAGAGTCACCAAGTCCCAAGGCTGTTTCTAGGCATACTGTGAGCTCCAGCTTCTGGTGTCCTTGGCGCCATTCTAGCCCAGGTGTCTCATCCAGTTGACTGCTGCATCTTTCTCCCGTCCCTGCATCTCCCATCTAAACTAGCTCTGCCCCCAAGAACACACACTTGAGCTGGTCATGTGGCACGCGCCTATAATTTCCAACACCTCAGAGGCTGAGACAGGAGGACTGTATCACCCCTGCGTTTTCTACCTTCAAGAAAGAAGTTTTTTGTAGAACTGGATGCTCTCTGTTCATAGGCGAAGGGAAACCGTCTACCTAAGGAGAGGAGTTAAATAAGGCAGCTGAGTTCATGTCCCCACATCACCTCACACTTCCCAAATGGGCTGGAGGTGTGGCTGGTGCTTAGCATGCAAAAGCCTGAGTTTAATCCACAGCACCGAGGACATTTAAGGGAGAAGAAATTGTGGATGATGCCGAGTGACTGCTCGTTTGGTTCAGCCAAATAATTCAATGAACCACACTTAATACTTCCTTGGCGAGGGTCTTCACTGATCCTAAACAGGGGTTCAAGCATCCTCGGGTTTTTATTCACAGTCTCACGGGAGACTTTGTTGGCTAGTTCTGTGTCAACTTGACACAAGCTACAGTCATTTGGGAAAAGGGAACCACAATTGAGAAAAAGCCCTAGATTGGCCCCGTGGACAACAAGCCTTGCTGCATTTTTCTGATTGATGTTGAAGGGCCCAGCTCACTGTGGATACTGCTACCCCTGGGCTGCAATACTAGAGCGCCAACACTGCACGTTTAAATGACACAGGAAAGACATTAAAGTGCTTTCTATGGATGGATGGATGGATGATGGATGCAGAGATGCATGGATAAATAGATTAATGAATGAATGGAGGAATGAACTAAAGAACGAACTCTGTTCCTATAAACTTTCATATGCTTCTTTCTTAGCATTCTTAACATTGACTTTTTCGTGGAAGTGAAAGAGAAGAGGAGGGGGAGAGATGGCTACAGGCCAAGAATTTGTCCAGCAAAAGCCACCGCGACCGGAAGCTGGGGGGAGCTACTGGCTCGCCTGCCAACGCGCTCCCACCCCGCGCGCCTCTACTCCGGGCTCGCACCCGAGCCCAGGCCCCACATCCCCACCCACCCCGGGAGGCGCGAGCTGAAGCAGGGCCGCCTCCACCCACGCCCCACTGTCCCCGGGGCGGGCAGCCCTTACTGTTACTCGCCGCTCCTCCTCCGCGATTCCTCCACGCCCCGAGTTTGCGCCGCGGGACCCTAAACGGGAAGCGTCCCGAACGCCCGGGGCCTCGCACTCACCGTCGGTGCCCGGTTCTCCGCTGACACCGCGGGCCAAGCCGAGCAGTAGCACAAGCCGCAGCAGCCGCGGCACCCGGCGACCCGGCGAGCGGCGCGTGCCCCGGGGCCCCCGGACCATGCCACCCGCTCCCTCCCGGCGCCCGCCACTCCCCGGAGGCCCCTGCGCGCAGAGATAAGGCCAGCGGCGCGGGGAAGGGGCGGCGCAGAGGCTTCCGGCGCAGGGCAGCGGAGCGCGGGGTCCCCGGCGGGGAGCGGGGTCCGGGGACCTAAGTGCGCCTGGTGCACCGGCTACGCGCCGCGCACGCCACGGGGCGAAAACGGACTGTGCTAGGGAGGAAACGTCGCGGCGCCAAGTGTGACTTACGGGGTCTCTAGGGAGACCAGAGAGGGGCGAGGGTCACATGAAGGGAACTCTTCCTGGACAGGACAAGGAGAGTTGGGATATGGTGGCCGCCGCACCGAGGGAGAGCCAGTCCACAGGGGGTGAAAATACTTGATCAGGAGACGAAACAAAAGTTCCAGCTGCTTGGTGGGCGCCCAGCTTGTTAGGAATTGACAAAGACGTGAATGAAGGAACACAGTGTTCTAGAAATTACGAGGGACTGCCCCCCCCCCGGGTGGGGACAAAAGTTTGGGGAAATATGTTTCATCACAGAGGTAAAGGTCTCTGCTGTGAGAATACGGTCAGCCAGCAGCGGGGCGTGAGGGAATCAGCCCTGAGCTAGAGCGGGAATCCAGGAAATACAACTTAGGGGTGGGGCACGTGATCTCTGTACTTAGGAGAGAAGCAGAAATTGAGTGTCATGGAACGCAGTCCACCATAAGTTAACACTAGTATAATATTAGAGAAAGAAAAGCGAAGAGAAACTGCAAACGTCACTTAGGTCTCTGGTTTGGACGGACACTGGTGGGAACCGTAGAGTTAAGGCAGGGAGTGAGAACTGGGGCTGAGGGAGGCTGCAGAGGCGGAAGTAAGACCGGGTGTGAAGGCTTTGAGTTTTGTCTGCAGGGCTGGCCTAGGGCAGGGGCACTCGCTGCTTAGCTTGGGCAGGTGCCCTCCTTTGCCTTCACACCGGTCAAGTCTCCCTCCCTCTAATTGCAGGCAAACATGCCCATGGAAGTGCCGCCCTAGGAAAATAAACTTTCTAGTGTCTTGTAACAAGCTTTCTTCAAGATAATTTTCTGTCCTACAAAGAGAGAAGCCTGCTTTAGGAAGTAGATGGACCGGTGTGTTAAAATGTGTGTGGTGTTTAGGCAACTTTTTGGTAAATCCAGCTCTCTGATCTTTGACGTGCCAGTGTTTCAACAAATGCACCATTGGGGACATTTTCAAACAACCTTTGCCTCCACTCCCTACAGAGTGAAATTCTACAGAAGAAATATATATAGTTTAAAAAAACGTGATGCCAGGAAAAAAAAAAAAAAACCTGTCCAAAACTTGGAAATGGGAGCGAAATTACAGGCTGTCTTTTTAGCAGGGCATTGGGTTGGGGGCTATCTAATCCACTTCCAGAGGATTCTCCAGTTCAAAAGTGGACTTTCATGAATGTCCTATGGACTAGGCTCATTGGCCACTGAAGAACTCTGATGACAGTATTACCAATCAGAGCTGATTGGGGTTCTTTACCTGGATAGAAAACACGATGAGCAACTAGACCTGGTGGCACACACGGTTAACCCCAGCACTCAGGGGGCAGAGGCAAGAGGATTTGTTCCAAGCCCCTTGGTCTACATAGCAAGTTCAAGGACAGCCAGAACTACAGAAACTCAGAGATGGCGTCTCAAAATGCAAACAAAACATTAAAAGGCAGAGTACAAGCAGAGAGGCTCTTTGTGCCCCAAGGGCATGAATCCGCAGGTGGGGGGGGGGGGGACTGGACTGGGCTGGGAGGCTCAAGGCTCCAAACTCTGATAACCACGGGCCTGTTGCTTCATGCTTAGAAGGCTAGAAGCCGGAGACATGACTAGGCATTCAGGCTGGAGGCTTATTGCCCTGGACTTTAACCACCAGCAAACCCCAGCATTTTGCAACTGTTGTAATCCTCTCCTTACAGCCGCTGTTTGAGGCGGCGGCAGGCAGTTCCTGTTGGGGCTGCAGCTCCTGAATGGGCTCTGGGTTTAGGACCAGTAGCTCCTGCAGCTACCATTACAGGCCTGGGACCCAGTGGCCACTGACGTCTGACAGCTCCCTGGAACTCTTCTAGCGGCTGAGGCACACGGGTTTCTGTCTTTGGCTCTTCACGACCCTCTCTATCTCCACTATCTCTTCTCCCTGCACTGTCATGTTCTAGTCCTTTCCTCCCAGTTCATTACTACCGCTGGCGTCGCTGCCTTCCACTGCTTCAAGCAACCGTCTCCTCTTTGCGTTACCAGCTCATAGTAATTAGAAAGATCAAAAGGAACCAGGGGCTGGGAATAGAGGGTGCTTGCCGAGCATGTATGAAGCCCTGAGTAGAGTTGTACAAGCTTGTGATTCCAGCACTCCAAGAGATAGAGGTAGGAGGATCAGGAGTTCAAACTATAAAACAAGTTTAAGGCCAGCCTGTGCTACTTGAGACAGTGCCTCAGATTTTTAAAAGAGGAGTCAGGGTGGGGCTAAGGAAACGGCTCAGTGAGTAAGAACACTGGCGCTGCAAGTACTAGAATCTACAGAGTGAGTACAGGCATGGCTGCACATGCTCCTCACCCTAGCATTAAAAGGCAGAAACATGCAGAGTCTAGGCGCTCACTGGCCAAACAGCCTAGCCCCACCAGTAGGCCGCATGTTCACTGGCAGAACCTGTTTCAAGGTGTGCTGCAGCAGCATCTGAAGGCTACATGTGCACTCCGCTGCTTGCACCCACACACGTATGCACCATGTCTATACACCACACCACACAGACACACCGGAGGGATCAAGAAAACGCTGGTCAAGAATCTTCTTAAGCCGAGTACAGTGTCACATACCCTTAATACCAGCACCGGGATGGCAGGACAGTTTCTGTGAGTTTGAGGGCTGCCCGCTCAACCAACACCAGGCCACAGACAGAACTACATAGTGAGAGACACCCCCTCCTGCAAAAAAAGAAGAAGAGGAGGAGGAGGAGGAGGAGAGGGGAGAGAGAGAGAGAGAGAGAGAGAGAGAGAGAGGGCTTTGAATGCCTCTGGACTGCTCTAAGAGTGAGCTAACAGCCTGTGTATATAGGATTTTTCCCATCATGGCAGTCTTTCAGGCAAACAGAGGCCCATGTTTGCACCAGTGGAGGCACAGTACTTCATACAAACAAAATTACGCCGATCACCGCTTTCTACTGGGCCACCGGAAGAAATGTTTCTTTCTCTGACCCGGATGAGAATGGCCGCTAGAGTTTACCCAGGCTCCCACTGGAAAGAGGTCTGGTGAAGCTATGAAACCCCATGCCTGGGAGGGACAGTGCCTTCTGGAGCCAAAGACTTGCACAGCTACATCCAAGGTCATTTCATCTCAAGAAGCAAAACAGAATAGTGAACCAGTTTTGAATCTGGAGTAGTGAAATGGTTGCTGCGAAAATATTTGGCTTAAGAAAAATGTCCTTTGAAGGGGATGCAGCGGGCACACCCACACTTCCCAAAAGGGAATTTGGAAGGAGCCTTGATTGAATGACTTGATGAATTTGACTTGAGTGACTTTATGAATCTGAATTTTGGTTCCAAGGTGTGTGTATAGAGGTATATTATTTGTGTTTTAATAAATAAAGTTTGCCTGAAGATCAGAGAACAAAGCAGCCATACTAACCAGCCAAACAGGCCAGGGAGTAGTGGTGGCACACACCTTTAATCCCAGGACTCGCGGGAGGTAGAGGCAGAGGGACCTCTGTGAATTCAAGACCACCCTGGGCTACACGATGGAATCTATCTAAAAAGAGAAACAGAGTTCGCACAAAGGTGTTCCCAGTACTTGGGAATCACACACCTTTAATCCCAGCATTAGAGAGATGGAGACAGAAGTGATATGGCTGGGCAGAGAGAGGTATATAAAGGGCAAGAGACAGGAACTCAGTCTAGTGTGTAGTTGAGGATTCGTGGAGATAGAATCTCTCTTTTTTTTCCCTTCAGTCTGAAGATTTGGTAGAGGTATAAGGTCTCTCTAGTGGTTGGCTGCTTTGCTTTTCTGATCTTCAGGTTGAACCCCAATATCTGTCTCTGGGGTTTATTAATAGTGCTACAAATGTGGGGTCCTCAGCCCTGAAAATGCTCAAGCCCTTCCTCCCAAATCCCAGCAGAATGACCAGAAATACACTGTGACAAACATGGTCCTGGGTTTTGTCCGTGTTCCCACAGCCGGGTTCCTATTTTCTGGGGTAGAAATACCTTTCATTATCCAAAATGACCCCCCTGTTATCACAACTGACGTCACACTAATGCATTACCTACCTTAGAGCCCCTAGAAATCCCAAGGGTGAGGCCCCAAGGGACACCATGACAGGACGGGGGACTCCTGAGTCTAGACACTTTCTAGCTCTGGAAACACTCTCAGAAAATGAGGTTCGATGAACTTCAGGGTGGGCTCTAAAGCTGGGAGAGCGGCCGGGAGGAAGCTGTGTCCCTAGCCCCACGCTTTCCCCGCCTGTGCAACTCATCTGGCTGTCGCTCACCATACACAAAAGCTAACCGTCCTTCTGACACACAGTCCTAAGCAGAGGTCAAAGCTGGGGCTTGCAGTCCTCATCTGAAGTGGGGTGCAGTGGGGTAGTCTGTCAGATGGAACTGAATGCCACAACCGACACGCATCTTCTTTCTGTCCGCTGAAGAGTTCCTTGGCGTTGGACGTGTCAAGTCAGCCAGTCCCCCTGTTGAGATGTTAGCTAATTCACTATGTAAACAAACTAAAAACTCAAGGAGTTTACCTCCAGGAATTGAGCCTCTGCCTGTCAGCACAGCTAAGCTTCAGTCGGTTGTGTGTGGCCAACTAGTCAAATCATGCTCACGTCCGGCTAACACCAAGCTCCTACCAGTGCCCCGTTTCCTCTTTCTGTACCCCACTTCCTTTTTCTACACTTCACATCCATTTTCTGTTCCTCGCCTTCCTTTTCCTGTTTATCAGTGCTATCAAGCCGTTGAAGTATCCCCGAAGCTCTTCTGGCTCTGAGGGCTGCCCAGTTCGTGGCCTCTTTGTTCAATTTAACTGCTCAATTCAATTTGCCCAGTGCTCCTCTCCTGACTGTGTATGTGGAAAAACTCCCACACATCTGGTCACGGCAGTGTTCTGTGTTGAATTAGAGAGTACAAAAGGAAATAACAGTTTGGGGTTCTTTCTTTCCTCTCAGATGCTCACAATGAAATAGGCTACAGTGCTTTTAGCAGGAAGACACGCCATGG